GGAAGGAGAAGGACACGGGGGAGGAAGAAGGAAAGAAGGGGGAGGAGCGTCAGGGGTACTTACATGGCTATGGTGGCAGCCATCTAGATTATCTTGGTGGGCGCTGCAGCAGGGAGTTCCCAACTGGGGAGAGCCACACCAAGAAGCTTCGAGGAAGGGTTGGGCATGGCGTCCTGAGCTAGAGCAGCCATAGCTGCTTTGGGTTGTCCTTTGGGCATCTGGGCAAGGCCTAGTAGTCCGCCATAGCCTCGGCCTATGAGAGTGAAGAGTGGGGAGGCGGCCATGGCTATGGTGGACCTGAAGTGATACCTGCAGTAGAAGAGGGACTCGGACATTGATTCTGGATCAGCCATTGGACATTGTATTATTATTTCTTGTATGAATAAGAGAAGGGGGAGATAAGGAGGAGGAGATTGTTGGGCGAACAAGAAGAGCTTTGTCATTGCCTTTGCTGGTGTACATCTTCTTCTTCTTCTTCTTCTTCTTCTTCTAATCCTCTCTCTCTCCTCTCAAGTTCATTCATTTCTTTATGCAATTGGACGACATTGTACTTTTTGATGGATGTGTATCTCGAAATTGGCCAGGATCATAACATTGGTATCAGAGCGGATTCTACTTGTTGGTGAGAGTTGACTTTGCTGCCCTAACCCCAACCTAAGTGGTTGAGGGCAACACTTAGGGTTAGGGTTGGTTGGTGAAGGGAAGTGGGGTAGCGTGGTTGAAGGAAGCTTCTCCCACCTGGTTAGGTTATGTGGGGTCGACATAGAACCTAACCAGGTTGCTTGAGAGTGAGATTAGGGTGGCGAGACATTTCGAGGAGACTTCATGCAGCGATTTGAGAGAGGCGGCAGTGAGAGGCACTCGCACATGGAATCTGATTCAAGGGAGACACTTGGCAACTTAAGGGTTGCCCTCAAGTAGGCGAGCTTGAGGGTCAGCGACCACTCAGCATCTACGGACTGCAAGTTGCTACTTTGTTCTTCAAGATCAACAGGGGATCCGGCGTTGCACTTTGGTGTTGGAGTCAGACCCTCCTAGGAGATAGGACACTTGTGTGGGGGTAGCGTTACAGGGGTCAGGAGGACCACATGAGAGAGGGGGTGAGTTTTATTCATCTCGAAGCTCAAGGCCAATCAGGTAAGTGTAGTGCACCTACGGGATGCCCATGTATGTGTGTATGGTATTGATTGTCCTGCTGGGGTACTCTGGGTTTCTTTTCCTACTCCTCTGTGGTCTTGATTGTGTGACTGAATGCATGTGATCTACCTACTCACCGGAAAAACCGTATCTACAAGCACTCTTAGATAGTGCAACCAAAAGGGAACAGGAGGCAGAGAAGGAGAGGAAGGAGACATTGCTGAAAAGGCAGGTGGTCATCCTAGAGACTGTTCCCTCAGTGACTGAAGAGCAGTGTGGGGAACAATTGCAGTCTATAGTCACCACCCTTGTTGAAGTCAGAACTCTTGAAGATAAAACCACTCAGATCGCCGAAGTTTTGCGAACACTTCAGGATGACCTGACTGATATGACCCACAAGTACCATGAACTGACAAAGGAGGTGGTCGAGCTGCAACAAGCCCAAGAGGCCAATCCTCTTCCTCTACCCCCTGGACCTGAAGCTGCCATTGAAACTATCTTTGCCTTGCTTACTGTATCTTCTTCCTTGATTGTGAAGGCAACCCCCTCGAGACTTGCAACAGGTGCACATTCTGATATTGCTGTGACAAACAACGAGGATGGAAATCTTGCAACTGCTGCAGCCCCAAGATTGGAACTAGCAGGTGCTGGTCCCAGCTGCGTCGGTCCCTATGTGGACTGAAAAGCAGTTCAAATATTATCTAAGTACGACGGCAAAGAAGACATCGAGTCCTGGATCAGCTCCATGAGGGGCATATTTCGAGGTTCGGGGGACTCAACCTGAGACCCAGTCCGTGATCATTGGAATGAATGTCGAGCTGGTCGTGCGGGGCTTCTTAGAGGTCCAAGCTATGCGAGCTGGGATTCCTAAAATTGAACCAACAAGATGGCTTAAGGCCACCCCGGTGGCCTCCCTCGAGGAACTCCTCATTTCACAATACTTGGATCCACATGCTGCTACAAGGGCAAAAATTAAGCTTGACAAATCAAGCCCATCAAGTGGACGGGCTCCATGAAAAGCCTGCAAACCTATCTTGGCAAGATGTTCGCTACACCCGGATTGAAACTGACTGCTCAATCTTGCTTGGATGTGGTCAAAGGCGAGGTTCCCACCAACTTTACTAATCGCCTGGGTAGGGACTTCATTGGTTACACTGACTGGTTCACCTTGATGAAGGACATAGTCAGTCTTGAACCTGTAGACCTCGTCACCACAGCAGGCAGCAAAAACCATATGGGCCGCAGACGGTTCAAAGGCAGCAACCGTTTTGTTGTGCATGACTTGCTGGAGGCCGAAGAAGAAGCTGATGCAGATGACCCCACTCTTGGTGACGACCAAGAACAGGGCTCTGATACAGCTTGTTCTTCAGCCCATGAGTCTGATGCGAACAAAGAAGAGGAAAAAATTTACTACCTTTAAAAAGACTGCCAATGCGAAGGGACCCAATCGGAGTGCAAGGAAGAACTATGTCCAACTTCCCAAGGGAGTCAAGATCCCACCTAAACCGGAGAATGCGATTACTAAACCTTGGGTCGACCTCCGGATTACTGAAAATGACTGGCGGGGTAGACTCAAGAAGGGGGTATGCCTGCATTGCCAAAAACCAAACCATAAGGTACAAGATTGTTATAGGATGCAACGAAACCAAAACCGGGCGTAGAGTTAACTTCAGCAAACTCTACAGCAGGGGAGACTGAATCTGAGGCAGATCAGCAGTCCTCCCTTGAAGCCCAATCCTCTGCTGAACACACGGCTGAGGTGAGTAACGTTTTGTATGTCGAGCCTTGGGAGGAGTCTGGGACGGTCAATTTTCACTACCACTTGGAGCATTGGGCTGAGATGAAACAGCAGCGTGCCGAGGGGACGGTAAAGTTGTTCTTCTTCAAACTTCTCATAAACCACCGTTATCTCCGTGTTTTGGTTGACTATGGTGCTACGGCTAACTTTATGTCACCTCACAGGATACGCAAAGTGGGTTTGGGGGTGAAGCAAGTGGCCTTGTAGAACCCTTGTCGGACCCAAGTTGGCAACAAAGAGGTTGTCTTTTCTACGCATGCAGTCAAGGGTGTGCGCACTACCTTTGACAAGGACAAAAATGTTACACACGCGTTGAACTTTTATGTTCTTGACAAGTGCCCCTTGGATGCTGTCCTTGGCTTGGGCTGGTTGCAGTCCCAATGCGCATGGACCAAGTGGAAGGAGTCACTTTTCATGATCAAAGATGCTTAAGGGAACGAGTTTCCTGTCCTCTTGGATGAGAAGCACGAGTCCCCAGTGACTTTTCTGAATGCTATGCAGTTCTGCAAGAAATGGCGAAAGCACAAGGGGGAAGAACAATTGTATGTTGCCTTTGTCCGTCCTATCTATGTGCCATCTACTTTTGTGGTTAATACCACTACTACTTCGACTAGGGACCCCACTTCTAGTACTTCTACTTCTAACACCAATATTTATCTACCCTCTAATGGTCCAAGTGATCCTACTTCAGATTCGGTCGTCTCTATACGCGACCTGCGACCGGATCTAGGTGATCCCTTTGCTGATCCCCCACCCTCACCTGTCCCACCAGACATTCAAAACCTCCTCGATCGGTTTCCGGAAGTTCTGGCTAAGCCACGTGGAGTCCCCACGAGATCGGTCTGACACACCATCGACTTGGTTGAAGGTGTTGTTCCTCCAAAGGCCTGCGTATACCAAATGGAACCCGGTGAGTTGGAGGAACTCCGGCGACAGATTGATGAGATGATTGACAAGGGTTGGATCAAGCCTAGCGAATCTGAATTTGGTGCTCCTGTGTTGTTTGTTCCAAAGAAAGGAGGCAAACTCCGCATGTATATTGACTATCGCGGTCTGAACTGCATCACAAGAACTAATGTCTATCCATTGCCTCGTATAGATGACTTGCTTGATGCCGCAGGTGGGTGCAAGGTCTTCTCCAAGATCGATCTCAAGTCTGACCACCACCAGATTGAAGACGATCCTGCGGACCAGCAGAAGACTACGTTCAAAACACACGATGGGCTTTACGAGTTTACCGTAATACCCTTCGGTCTCACGAACGCACCGGCCACCTTCCAAAGCCTCATGGACAAAGTCCTCTGCGAACAGATTGACCGGTTTGTGGTGGTCTGCCTCGATGTCATTCTAATCTTCAGCAAGTCTATGGAGGAACACCTCGAGCACCCTGAGGAAGTACTGACCATCCTCAAGAAGACGCAACTCCATCTCAACTTAGAGAAATCTGAGTTTGGGAAGGATAGTGTCATCTATCTTGGGCACCGGTTGTCTGCTGCAGGCCTAGAGCCTGAAGCAACCAAAGTGGAGGTCATACGCAAGTGGCCTCAGCCCGTGAACATTCGCGAACTGCATTCTTTTCTTGGTCTCGTGTCATACTATCGAAAGTTTATGCCCCGTTGCACGTTCATTGTCTCGACTAACAAGTAAGAATGTTCCCTACTCTTGGGACTACCCAACTCCTTCCTCTGCTCTTTGATAAACTGATGTCGATCATTCACCTCCTTCGCATTGCTCGAGATTCTTCCGGGCGTTGCCTTACACCTACTCTTTCTCACACCCTGCTCTAATCGCACCCGGAGGTTGCTAACCGGAGTTCTGGCTGCCTTGTTTGCGTTGATAAGGCGCTCGGCCCTTTCCCTTTGACTTATTGCTTCGGCCAGAGCGTCTGCCTTCATCTTCTTCAAGACGTTAACTTCGTCCTGAGTAGCTTGATACCTGGCGCGCAGGTCTCCTAGTTCCCTCATGTTACCCAAACCCTCATGAGCAGTCCTTGCCCTTGTACGCCCTTGGTTCCCTTCAGTAGTGGTTGTTCCTTGCAGCGCAACCTGTCCTCGCTTATTGCCTGGTCGTAGGGCTTCGCCTTTCCAGATCAGCACCTCCTGATCGGCCCTCTCTGTTCGCTTCCTTAGTTGCTCATTTTCCAAGGCTAGCAGTTCCAGCCTCTTTTGGCCCTCTTTTCTAGCTCATTCCTCCCCAGCTCTGCCTCCCGTCGTAGCTCATCCAACTCCTGCCTTAGTCTCGTTACCTGATCACCAGCCCCTATTGCTGCCTCTGTAGTTTCCGTGTATCTCTGCTGGCAACACGTACCCCTAGTCCGTAAATGCGGACCTACCGGCGTCTTTAACAATTCTCCCTCTCGCCTACGCAAATCCTCCGGCTGCTTCCTCGCAATCTCCCCGTCCGGCCCTCCCTGCATCGCCGACTTACCTTCGCTAGTTGACGCCGCCTGCAGCTGCTCTACTTGCTTCTTCAATCTGTCAATCGCGCCTTCCTCCTCCTTCCTCCTTCCAAAGTAAATCTCGTACATACTCTTAAATTTTGCCTCCATCTGAGCTCCTATGGCCTCTTCCAGCTCCTTTCGTTCCTTTTCCCGAGTCGCCCTATTCTCTTCTTCCTCACGCTTCCTACTTGCTTGCTCCTTTCTTTCTGCTGCTGCCGGTCCCGTGCGTTCAGCCTTCCGACAATCGTTTCAATCTTTTCGACCCTCTCCCCCATTCTCGGGTAATAATTGCTTGACCTTGCAGTCTGATATTGCGTCGGCTGGACTTGCCCTCCTGCACCAGGGGGTGCCGGCAGCGTCAGTAGCGGTTGCACCGACTGTGTACTAGTCACCGCTCCTGAATAATTGTTCATCCCTCCGCCATGCGGGCGATTGGGACACTCCCTTCGGATGTGTCCGACCATGCCTCGTGCATAGCACGTTGGTATGAAACCCGACATTCCGACCTACGGAAGAGAAAAAGTAAGAAAGGAAAAGAAAGAAGAGAGAGTAAAGAGAGAAGAAAAAGAGAAGAGAGAAAAAAGAGAAAGGAAAGAAAAGAAACGCACTAAAGCAACAAACAGCGGTAGGTAGGTTCAACGTAGCCACACTAAACGTAGTACTATCTCTACGTAGGTTACCACGATAAGTGATGAGGATAATTTCCTCGAACGAAGACGTTCCACAATATCATCACATCAGTGCGCAAGGAAGGGAAAGAGAGGGAGAGAGAGGAGAGAAAAAGATAAAGAAAGAAAGAGAGAGAGAGAGAGAGAGAGAGAGAGAGAGAGAGAGAGAGAGAGAGAGAAAGAGACACACACCACCGCACCGCAAGTCATCGAAAAATGTATCGTTTTTACCCAGACGCGACAACAACCATTTCGAAACCAAAAGAACTGAAGCTATGGCTGAAAGTTTCGGCGTGCGACCCTACATGTTTCAGCCGGTCGCCGTACCGCCTTCATCAGGGGTCTTCGTCGCTTGATTGACTATGCGTGCTAAGACCTGTCTAAATAGGATCGCAAAAAAGTTATCCAGAACTTTCGTCAACACTGCCCTGCGTCGAGCACCTCGTCAAAACCCTGCGCAAAGAATTCGAACCTACCCAAATCGCAACCTATACATATCCCACTTATTATTACCTCTAGAAACCGGGCCTACTCCGACCCTTGCTACTACGGAAAACAACACCTCATTCTTCTTCTTCTCGAAACATCGGGTCCGATTTCGACCCCACGCACCTATACCACTGAACTGCAAAAGGGCAAAACATTTATGCGCATACGATCATTTTTAGTCCCTCTCGATATTTCCGAGAGCTACAAGTTCCTTTCGACAATACCAAGGGATGCTTCGTTCAGACCGAAAAAGTAGAGCACCTATCCAGTAAAAAGCAAGAAAGGTAAGAAAGTAAAAAAGTAAAAAAGTAAAAAAGTGAAAAAGTAAAAAATGAAAAACAGAATATCCCTTTCCACATTTACCACCCCGTAAGAACCTTAACCTAGTCACCCAAAATTCCCCCACCCTTTCTTGAGGGGTATAGGTGGGGATTAGAATCTTTGAAGATTTTTATCTTTTTTTCTACTGGCTCAAATGAGCCAAAATTTCGGTGGCATACACCTTATGCAAAGTATAAGCGACATAATTTTTTTCATTTTTTTTTTTTTTTTTAATTTTACGCTAGGTCGGACATCCCCCGTTCGGTCCGACATCCGACCAGACGTCCGGTCAGACATCCCGGACGGTCAGGGGGGGTCCCGGACGTCCGATAAAACGACCTAGATTTTCTTCCAATTCCAA